TTTTTTTGCTTATAAGACTTTTCAAGATTTTAGAAATCCTACATACTATTCCTTGCTTTCTCTCTCTTTTTTTTTTTTTGAAACACACAAAAGATGAAAAATTATTTTGGCACACAAAGTTACTACTACTACTACTTAACACACAGCTGAGATAATAAATTGAAAAACTATGTACAAGAGATGAATTCGGCGGTGTTAAAGGTGGTAAATTTTGCCAAAATGATGTTACAAAGCCCAGAGTCTCAGAGACGGAATTCAGTCATCGTCCGAGTCAGGGTATGGGGGCAGGGGGCGGAAGTACCATGAGAAACCTCCAGACGTCCCAGAAGATGTGGAGGGGACGGGCTCTGGGGAACTGGAGGAAGGACGCGGTCTCTTGTAGCTGGGGTCTCCCTCCTCATCCGCATCTTCATCTCTGTGGTGCTTGGATCCACAGAGAGGCAGGACGTCCAGAGCAAGGCCCACAGGGGGAGGGCCAGGAGCAGGATGGCAGGAGGGCGCAGGAAGCACAGCAGCGGGAGACGATGGGCGATGCTCCTCTTCAACACCGGGACTGGGCGCAGGAGAAGGGCTCTCTGCTCGCTGCCGAGCAAAGGGGGTTACTTTGTGAGGTCATTTCAGGTGGTTTCTGGGAGGTTACCGTGATACTGGCTATATGCTTTGCTTGTTGACTTTTTCATAGGATTTGCTGCTAAGCATAAGAAAGCAACTAGTGACAAAACCCAAACGGTGTTCTCTAATTATTTGCTTGGGACAGTCGAAACAGAGATGAGCGCCACAGTTCCCCTCAACATAGTACGCATCGTCTCTGTACTTTGTTAGTAAAGAGACCAATAGGTCAAAGCCAGAATTTCCCATATGGTCTAGCGGTTAGGATTCCTGGTTCTCACCCAGGCGGCCCGGGTTCAACTCCCGGTATGGGAATTCCTAGCTTTTGGGATCAACAGTAGTGGCTTATATGCACTCAGTCATTCTCTGTCTTACTACTGCTAGCTATCTGTGATTTTGATATGCTTTTGTCTGTAGGGAGTCACCATATCATTTCACTGACTTGCGATACCACTATGAGAGGACACTGTGATGTCACTGTGTGATGTCACCTCCACCTTGTGATGGTGGCATAGTGGATAGCATAGCAGCCTTTGAGGCCCTTTGAGGAGACTGTGGTGTCAGCGTGAATGGAACGTGATGCCACTGTGTGACAAGCTGTTCAACTCGCGATGGTGGTATAGTGGCTAGCATAGCTGCCTTCCAAGCAGTTGACCCGGGTTCGATTCCCGGCCATCGCAATCTTTGGTTGTGAATCATGGTGATTTCCGTGCATTTTGGGGAAACACGTGTCTGTTGAATTCATTGCTTCCAAAACGAACTCTTCATAGCTAGTGCACATATACAGCTCTTAACTTAATCTAATAGGACAGCTGACTGTCAGAGACTAGCACAATCTCTGCTGTATTGCTGCACAACATTTACAAAGTATGTATTTCGGCACGGTTTTCTGAAATCATTGTGTAAGTCATGGTTCTTTGAATAGTCTCGAAGCAATCACTGATACCCAATTTTGTTGCTTAAAGTCGGGCGTTCTACCATCTGAGCTAACCATGCTAACATGCCTGAAGTTTGCTTTTATCCACTCATTATTTAGGTCTGGTTTATGGCCACTTGCTTTGCAACCATTCAACTTATAAATACAGTGCCACTGACTGAACTAAGACTAAACCAGGACTAACCCAGGATTGATTCCAGGACTGAACTAGGACAAAAACAGTAGTAAACCAGGACTAAACCAGAACTCAAACAGGACTCACTGTCAGGACGGGCTCGGCGGTGACAGCAGGAGAAAGGACAGATGGAGAGCTCCACACCTCACGAAGGTAAACGTAGCAATTGCCTGTAATACCAAAGGGCAATTCAGCAGTTGAGCATTTGTTTACCCGTTGCCAGGTTGAGGAAGCTCATTACTTCTTTAAAAAGTAATCCGTTACTTTAGTTATTCTCTATGAAAAGTCACTTTTTACGTTACTTATTACTTTTTGGTGGTAAACTCCATCTAAGGCTGAATACAGCACAAGACCAAGAGTTGACAAGAACTGTAAGGGAAAGTTGAAAAGAACTTTGAAGAGAGAGTTCAAGAGGATGTGAAGCTGTTCAGAGGTAAATAGGTGGGGTCAGTCTGCCCGGGGGATTCAACTTGGCGGACGAAGGGCAGCCTTTTGGTGCTGTAGGATCCCCTCGAAAGACCTCTCCCCGGGTGTCGCTGGCCCCCACTTCCTCCTGTGCGCCACGACCGGGCCTCAAGCCTTTCTGGGTCCAGGAAAGACTTGAGGCGTGTTTTACAGCTCCTCACGCCAGGACTTCTCTGCTTCCTGGGGCCGTGGGTGCCCACCTGCTGCGCCCTCTGGACGGACCCCTCCTGCTCCCGGTGTGTCTGTCTTTGTAGAGTGTTACACCCAACACTGCCCGTTACTATGCTCTAAAACCACCTGTATCTGAGTAAATGTAAAGTAGAGCTGTTTAATGTCACACTGTGGAACATTCCAGACAGAGAAATGGCATCTCCATAGAAACAAGCAGGTGACGGACCTCCAGTCGAAAAGTTACCTTTAACTCATGTTGATTGTGCATGTGATGATGTAGTTTAGGTTATTATAACACTATTATCTGTACCTCCTCTGTGTGTGTGTGTCTCCTCTGTGTGTGTGTGTGTGTGTGTGAGTGTGTGAGTGTGTGTGTGTTTGTGCGTACAGAAGGGAGCAGAGCTGTTTTCACTGACCTTCATCTTAAGAGGATCAAGCGGATTGTTTTCAAACTAATTCAGATAAAGTAGCTCTGCCCCTCAGCCTAATGAAGCACTCCAGACTGCAGCAGGACACAGACACACAGGAGACACAGGAGACACACAGGAGACACACAGGAGACACGCAGGAGACACACAGGAGACACGCAGGAGACACGCAGGAGACACGCAGGAGACACGCAGGAGACACACAGAGACACGAGAGACACAGGAGACACGCAGGAGACACAGAGACACGCAGGACACGCAGGAGACACAGCAGACACAGAGACACACAGGAGACAGGAGACACGCAGGAGACACACAGGAGACACGCAGGAGACACACAGGGGAGACACGCAGGAGACACACAGGAGACACACAGGAGACACACAGGAGACACGCAGGAGACACACAGGAGACACGCAGAGACACGCAGGAGACAGGAGACACACAGGAGACACGCAGGAGACACACAGGAGACACGACAGGAGACACACAGGAGACACAGGGACACCAGACACACAGGAGACAGGGTCCAGACAGGTGCCAGACAGGTGCTCTTACACGAGCTCTATGTATCCTGTGCTCTTACGCTTTTAATGAAGGTTCCACAATCACAACTGAACCTGTGTCTCCAGAAACTTCACCTGCAGACACACACACACAAGTTTGTCTCATTCTCAGTTTATGTTCAGACCTCATGTGAAGCTCAGAACCTGCAGCATTTCCTCCCTGAGCTGCAGAGGCTGCACTAGCACTGACTCATGATGCTGCAGGAGGTGGGGTTTAGGGAGCTCGGTCAGATCAGAGAGACACATTTTAGGTTTAAACACACTGGATTTCAGTGTTGAAACTGTAACTATACTAACTATAATGTTATGTAACTATAACTACTTGTCCATTATCAATGTTTTTGTATGTAACCAGGAAGTCAAACTATATTTTCCCACTGTAATGCAGCTGCAAATGCATCTGCCTATGTGCGTGACTCTTCCAGTGTCACTCATTACTGATTAGAAAGGGGTGCACACACTGCAGGGTGCTGTCAGGTTTTTCGGTGGCTGGCTGTAAGTAGCGAGAATTATGTATCTCAGAATGTTTGCTACTAGATTTTATGTGGTGTTTGACAGTACTGACGATGTGTGGAGTTTGTGGTAACTGGGGCTGCTCCGGTCATGTCCTAAGCTCCATGTTTGATGCCCCGTCTAGAATCTCAGTAATGCCTTTTTTTTTTTCATTTAGTTGGTTTGGTGGGGGTAAACTAGTCTGATTCGTCAACCGGGTTCACTTCATGGGTACTTTTTAAATTTAACATATCGCTGTTATTTGGTCCTGACGTATGTGATGCACCAGAACGCTCAGTGGTGTCCAAGTAATTACAACAGCAAACAAAGCAGAGAGTGAACATGTCTGTCAACGAGCATTGTCGTTTCTGTGAGGTGAACTTGTGAATTAAAGGTGCAATAATAAATGCAAAGTTTGTATCTACATCCATCTCAACGCTTTGTTTACTGTTGTGCTGTACCACAAAATGGACCCAGATAGACGCGACGAGTTTGACGTCATAGCTTCACAGCTCACAGCTGATTGGCCGGTGCACGGTCTACATTCCTGACCTAGTCACTGGAGAGAAATGAAATTGAGCAGAGGCACTAGGTGGCACCAGCCTGGATAGGGGTAAACGGCATTGTGGGAATGACTCCTGTGGTGTGTCACAGATTGTCCTGCTATTAATATTTGCTCTCAAATTCTCTTTTTAAAGTTGTGTTTTAAATGTTTAGAATGAACTTTTAATATCACTGTTAATTAAATTTAAAAAAATCTATATTTCCACTATTTCCTGCCTTTGTCCCATGTTTGCCCAGACTTGTCTGTGTTTTAGTTAAAACATCTATAAGTGCAGACCCTGTAAGCCTCAACCTCTCTCTGTTACATGTCATTAAAACTAAAGCAACATCACAACTGTTTTCAGAAAAACTTGTATCTGGGGACACGGATATGTTAAGTTTTAAATTTACAAAAACAAAATCTTCTATACAATTCCTAGTTTGATGTTTGTTTACATTAGCAACAGAGATTCAACATGGCAGCATGTGGCATTTTTGACAGTTGAACTTTTGGTGTGTCCCATGTTTTTGTCCTGATGTAGCTCTGGGTAAAAAATAAACACAACATTTTCACATCTGGAGCGTGAGGGAGCGCCCCCGGTGGACAGTCTGAGTCAGTTCTTCTTCTCCTTCAGTTTGTCCTTGATTTTCTGCGGCTCATCGTACTGGATCAGACGCAGGATTTCTTTGTTATCCATCACGCCCTGAATGAACTCCCCCTCCGAGATCTTATCTGCAACAAGAGAACGGCCGGGTTTAAGGTGGGACTAGACACCCAGACTCTGAGACTGAGGGGGGAGGAGGGGCGGGGTGTGGAGGTATAAGGAGCAGTGTGATTGGTCGAACAGGTATCCACACTTCAAACTCCGTCTCTGCAGACATGTGTTTCTATCAGCAACACCTGTCTGTGATCAGGGCAGTTCTGTGTGATGTCATGTACCATATTTTTCGTACTATAAGGTGCACATAAAGTCCTTCAATTTTCTCAAAAATCTACAGTCTTATAATCTGGTGCAATTTATGTATTAATTCTGGTTGTGCTTAGGGACCTCGAAGTGATTTGATGTGGTACATGGCGCTCAAAAAACTGTCAAAATGTTTTCGTAAGACTTTGGTAAACTACGAAGCCACACCGCTTGATGGATTGTCGGAGCATTACGAAGTAACACACATTCACCAAGACAGAGAGGCAACGCCGGGCAAGTTATGCCACGATCTACAGATGGATCGTGAATGCCTGGGCTAAGGATCAGTCTCAGGTTTCGTCCGAGCTTTCACGAAGGCACTGAACAGCGAAGTAACAGCGACGAGACTGACTCGGATAATGACGAAAGGGATCTGGACTCAATGTTGAAATCGCCAAACTGTTCAACTCTGTCACTGAAGATGAAGAATTTGATGGATGAATGATGGAGGAATGAACTGAAAAAGTGAGTTTATTGTTTTGTATTTTATGTGTTACAACTGATCAATGTTGAGAGTTATTATGAATGAGTTGAATAAAGTTTGACTTATGTGACTGTTTTGTTTCGCTTAATGCGCCTTATAATCTAGTGCACCTTATGTATGAAAATAGATGAGAGAATTCAACATTATTGATATTGCGCCTTATAATCCGGTGCATCTTATAGTCCAAAAAATACAGTAGTACTTGAAATCACAGCACATACTTAGATTTAGACATTTTTAACCTAGTTTAATAGTGAAAACGTGGCTATAGTGTTTACTTTCAGTTTAAATCAGGTAAAAGGAACAGCATGAACTGAACAGGAGACACTTAAATCACATATGGGCTACACATTTCACTAACACATTTAAGATGAACTAAAATCTTTTCTCTTTTTTGTGAAGTTTATAATTTTTGTGTCCTGGTTGGACAGAGGCTTCAGATGTCACATACGTAGAGGTCATTCTATAACTGTTACCTAGAAACCATAATGTCAACAAGGGCCAAAGCTTAAACACAACGGACTCCAGGCACTCCAAATAAGTAAACATTGCACAAGGAAAAATATAGTTAAAAGGCCTTTATTTAAATGGCCAAAGTCAACATGTTTCAACCAAACTGGATTTCATCAGGGCTTAGTTGCCAAGGACCAAAGCTTGTCTAAATGAATTAATCAGTATTAATCAGTATTCAATCTTTGTGCCTAAATTGTCTCTGCATTGTGGATGGAGTTTTCTGGGTAGATCACAAAGGCAGGGGAATTCTGTTTTAAAACCCAACACATCTTGCAGTTTTCTACGTTTCATCTCAGTTTTTTTTCCACAAACTGTCACTTAACTCAGTATCTTGAATATTTACAGGTACAATCCACCAAACCAAGGAGGAGTCTAAAAGTCGTGTGTGTAAATTACCGTTGTCTTTTTTGCCAAAGTAGTTCCAGATCTTCTCGGCTCTTTTCTCTGGAGTGTTCTCGTCTTCTGCCAGGTTCTTCTGGTCCTCCTCCGGGATCATGTTGAAAATCGACTGGAAAAATAAATTAATTATTAATTAAATTAATTAACTTTACAACATGAGAGTAACAAAAGTGAACAAAGACTGTAGAAATAAAACTCAGTGTTTATGCCAATACATGGGCTTAATATTGATATAAAGAAATATATGTAAAGTTGATTTAAGCTACCATCGGCAAGTTTATTTGGTTACTTGTATTTATTCCTTCTCTCTTCCCTCACCTGGTCTAACAAAGACAGCATCATCACCTGATTTAATTACAGATGATAATTTTAAAAGGGCAGATTAGATGAAACTAAGAGACTTACAAGTATGGCTGTTGTCTAGTCAATTAATTGGTCAGTGGTGTTATAGTCGACTAACATTTGACTAAAAATATTTCAAGATTTCAAAGGGAGATCTTGAGAGCTAGTCTCGGTCAGGACCTCTGAGCTCTGGTGCGTGTTTTGCCAAGAAATAACGTTAAAACTGACTTGAAGAAAAGTTCCTAAACTCAACCTTACCCTCACGATCTCTTGTATCTCGTTCTTGCTGATGGTCCCATTTCCGTCGACGTCGTACAGAGCGAAGGCCCACTCCAGCTTCTGCAGAGTCTTTCCTCCAGACGTGAGGTGCAGAGCCACGATGTACTCCTTAAAGTCCAGGGTGCCGTCGGAGTTTGTGTCAAAACTACGGAAAACGTGCCTCGCGTACGCTGTCGGATCTGCGTTCGGAAAGAAGCTGGCGTATATCCCTTCAAACTGCCCCTTGCTGATCTTACCACCGGGACATTCTTTCAAAAACGTCTGGTACCAACTGCACAGCTCTGCCTCGGAGTATTTCGTATTACATTTTAACTCCTCTAAAAGTTCCTTAGACAGCGCGCTACTCTTGGTATTCCCCATTTTTTGTTACGTATCAACACTCAAACACAAACAGAAAACTAAAGCAGAGTTGTATATATAGCGTGTTTATGGGGGACACCTCCGAGCAGCTCTGTTCTACGGGATTATAGCGATTGGGTTGCTAAAGTTATTGAGCCGGTGCAGAGATAAGAGGATCCACACGTCACTGAGCCATGAGCCGTCTGAGGATTAGCCGCCACAGGTGCGAACCAGAAACTTCAACATCTGCGAAGACTTAACGCCACCATTTTAATGATGTAAGTCAATCTGTAGAGTGTTGAGTGAAAATAATGTAGCAAAACCCCAAAACTCGTTACACCCTAAGCACCTGAGGAAGTGGCAGCAGGGTCCTGGAAAATTCCTAAAGACCTCTACCTTTGAAAGCTATTCTTGTTTGCACTTTAAGATTTTATTTTTTAGTTATTTATCCATCCAGTGAAACTCACTCACATATTTTTGGGGTGTTTTTGCATTTTTTCCTTTTTGCTGTGTGACCCAAGAGTCCAAACGACCTATTGTGTGTTCCAGAGAGCACTTTCTTTCACTGTCCAAGTCCACAGTGCGGAACTACGGAGGAGGACGCACAGAAGATGTGAAACAGCGAAGAAGGAAATCCAAGCCTGTGGTTCCGTCAGTCCTGATGGGAACATCAGATCACTGGGAAATAAGATGGACAAACTGTTAGTGCTTGTTGGGACCCAGAGGAAGTACGCTGTCAGCAGTGTCATGTGCTTCACGGAGACCTGGAGACCTACTAACTTCCTATACAACAGTGCATCTGTACCAGGCTTTAAGACTGTGTGTGGACAGAGACACTCTCCTTAGCTGTAAGAAGAAGGGCAGCAGGATTGCTGTTTTGGTAAACAAGAGGTGGTGTAATCCTGTTCATATTACTGTGAAGGAGTGTATTTGTTCGCCGGACATTGAACTTTTCGCTTTGGGAATGCGTCCATATTATTTACCAAGGGAATTTACTTGTCTCCTGTTCATTGGACTTTACATCCCTCCCTCAGCATATGGAGATGCTGCCTGTGACAGGACACACACTGTGGTCTCTGGGCTGCTGTCAAACACACAGAGGCTCTACTTTTGATTTCTGCTGATTTCAACAATGCTTCCTTGGACAGTGTTTGACTCACACTTCTCCAGTGTGCGGATTGTAAAACTTGGGAGAATAGGACTCTTGACTTGCTGTATGCCAATTATAAGGAGGCACACAGTGGCACTGCCCCCAATGGATGATCAGACCACAGTCTTGCCCTGTTAATGCCTCAGTATGTCATTGCATTGAAAAGGCAGCCTGTCACCACTAGGACTGTAAGAAAGTGGAGTTAGGAAGCCAGCCATGCCCTTCAGGAGCTTTGAGACCACAGACTGGGATGTGCTCTGCCAGCTGCATGGGGACAACATCAACAGCATGGAGGATACAGCCATCCCCACATGCACTGTCTGCTGTTACTCCAACAACAAACCCTGGATCACCAGCCAGCTGAAGGACCTACTTCAACCCTGATGTCAAGGACGAAGGTGAAGTGGGTACAGCTACAGCTGTAGGTCCAGCTCAGGCAGAGTGAAGAAGCATTTGGGAAGAGGCTCGAGGCAAAACTCCAGCACAACAACACTGGATACATGTGGATGTTGACTTAATGACTACAGATCATTTGCTTTGACATCCCATGTCCTGAATGTGTTTGAGAGACTTGTTCTGACTCAGCTCAGACCCCTGGTGGCACCATCTCTGGATCCTCTACAATTTGCGTTATCAGTGCCTTGCTTGGAAGATGCTGTAATCTATCTGCTTCACTGGGCTCAGTCACACCTGGATGGTGTTAAGGCTCTGTGATTTCCTGTCTAGCAGGCCTCAGTATGTGTGACAGGGAGCACCCTGTCTGACACTGTGGTCAGTAATGTAGGAGTCCCCCAGGGTACAGTCCTGTCTCCGTTTCTGTTCACTCACTGTACACCTATGATTTCCAGTACAGCTCCAAGTCCAGCACCTGCAGAAGTTCGCCGATGACTCTGCAGTTGTGGGGTGTTTCAGAGATGGATAGGAGCTGGGGCAGGTGCTGGGACAGGTGCTGGGGTGTATCAGAGATGGACAGGAGCTGGAGTACAGGACACTGATTTGAAATTTTGTGGAGTGGTCCCAGGCAAATCATCCACTCCTGAACGTTGACAAGACCAAGGAACTGGTGATGACTTCAGGAGGAAGAGGACCAAGTGGAACCTTTCACCATCCAGGGCCTTGGAAATAGTGGACTGCTATGTGAACATCCATGTGAACAGCAGACTGGACTGGAGGGACAACAATAAAGCTGTGAACAAGAAGAGCATGAGGAGACTCAAGACAAGGAGAGGAGACGTTTCTGAGAAAACTCAGGCCTTTCAATGTGTGCAACAAGTTCCTGGAGATGTTCTCCCAGTCTGTGGAGGCCAACACCCTGGACTTGTCTGTGTTCTGCTGGAGGAGCAGCTCCAGGAAAACACAAACTGATGTGTAAAGCTGCTCACGTGATCGACTGTGAGCTGGACACATTTATCCCAGTGAGGGACACGAGGACACAAACTGTTCTCCATCATTTACACCATAGAGGGACAGATAATACTCCCTACAACTGTACAACAACTCAGCCTTGTGTAACAGATAATACTCCCTACAACTGTACAACGACTCACCCAGTGCACCAGACTATAGAGGGACAGATAATACTCCCTACAATTGTACAACAACTCACCCTTATGTAACAGATAATACTCCCCTTTTTTTACTCTTTGTTATTATATTATGATGTGATGTGATGAGCTTCTGTGTCCAGATCATTTCCCTTGTGGATCAATAAAGTTTGTTTAAGTCTTAAAGAGTAAGTAGTGTTAATATTAAAGGAGACAGAATACAGACTTGGTTGTTCTCAGATTCTAAAATGTGACAGTGTCCTCCCTGCAAAATCTTTAAAGGGGCACTATGTAACTTTTTATGTTAGGGGTCTGTCACCTGCTTGTTTCTATGGATGTCATTGCTCTACCTGGAATGTTCCACAGTGTGACATTAAACAGCTCTGCCTTATATTAATTCAATTACAGGTGGTTTTATAGTTCAAAAGTACCTAGAAAACAGACATTCTGATTGTGAGTGGAGTCACGTCTCCACAGATCTGACCTGTAACTTGGTCTGGTTTGGTCTCCATGAAGATAGAAAGATTTAATGCCATACTGTGGAACATTCCAGTCAAAGCAATAACATCTCCATAGAGAAAAGCTTTTGACGGAGCCTCCACCAGAAAAGTTACACCACAAATAAATAAATAAATACATAAATACATAAATAAATTAATACATTGATATTTGGATTTTAATTTAAATATATCTACTTTAAATTGGTCTAAATAATATGATATAAACATAATTATCAATGGTTGTGTGCATATATGTAAATAGTGTAATTCTGCATATAATACATGGTCATACAAACAACAACTAGCATCCTAACAGAGCACCAGCACCACCAGCACCAGCCTTGCTTCCTGGTTTGTGGATGACTGTAACACTTTGATTAGACTTAAAAGCTGCTTTTACAACTTGGGAAAGACAACTTTTACTTAATTACATGAAAAACTAGAAAAGCACTCAGAGATCCCAGATAAGTGGAAGAAAATGGATGGATGGATTTGGACTTTTGCGATTTCAGAGTCGGCTCTACAGTGAAACTACACTGAAAGATGATGAAACGCTGTATTGAAGCAGGTTTAATTGATGCTTTTGATCAGATTTTGCAGCAGCGCACAAACAAACTCAGGTACTGGATTTAATTCCGATAAACCTAAAAACATGAGTACCTCTTCTCTGTCCAAACCATGATTGTGTGTTGTGATGTAATCCTGTGCGTGGGCTCTCTGGGGCCCGTGGGCAGGGGCTGAGCAGAGGCAGATGGGAGGTCCAGTGTCCTGCTCCACAGAGACCGTCTCAAACTGAAACAACGCGATTACATCAAACCACGAGGTACAAGGGACTAATTCAACCCCTGTAATCGGATTGGACGGTTCTTTTCTGTAAAAAAATCCTAGTAGAAGTCTGCTTTGGTAAAGCTTGTGTCTGCCATGTCGTTTTAATCTATGACACCCGTGGATCATTATGAGAGAGACCAGCCCGAGGGAAATTCCAGTTTTACTGCAACAACATTTACACTGCTCTTCTCAGTCTCCTTTGTGTCTCAGTCAGAGGTCTCAGTGCAGATAAAGAGGAGGACAGGTCAGGGAGGGTCAGCAGATCTGTGTCAGGGTAGTCTGAGGAGAGCCCTTTCTCTGTGTCTTGCAGCACCACAGCAGCCTCCAGGGGGCGCCAGGTGAACACAATAGGAAAGCCCTTGTACTTATGATGAAATGGTCCATTTCATTAAAGCATTTCCCCTGGAAGGTCTTCGGTCACATTTGTTATAATGTGCAATTTTAAATTGCAATATTAATCTGAAATGACTTATAAACGAATATAATAATTATAAACCAAGTTTGCTGACTTCAACATAAAAAAAAACTAAAAAAAAAACTAAACAAAAAATAAATAAAAATTGTGGTACGGTAAATGTCGTCACAACAAAGAGTCAGTGATTTAAGGTTAGTTTAAGTGTGATTAAAAACCCTGTCCTCAATTTTCCCCCTGGATCTGAGCAAAATGTGTCTTCCCCCAGATACAAGCAGCTCTACAGGTCAAAATAAGTCTGCTGTGTACTGTCTAATTATAAAGCATTTCATTGTCTGAGTAGCAGGAAGTGCACATTAGCATGCTAGTTGTTGTTAGTTAGCAAAAGCCCGCGCGCTCGTCTCAGATCCGACTCCAGCGTCCGGCGCAGCGGCACCTCGCTGAAGGATTAGCCTCGGTGCATGTTTTAGGTTGATGCAGATTTGAGGCACAGTTGCAGAATGGATAATCTTATTCTCAGAAGGAGGTTGTGGGTTAGACTCCTGATCTCTCTGAGTGGACTTTGCATGTTCTCCCTGTGTTACTGT